AGATAGATAGATAGATAGATAGATAGATAGATAGATAGATAGATAGACAGATGATAGAAAGATAGATGATAGATAGAAAGATAGGTAGAAAGGTAGGTAGAAAGATAAATAGAAAGGTAGGTAGAAAGATAAATTGAAAGATGATAGATGGTAGAAAGAAAGAAGGATAGATAGATAGATAGATAGATAGATAGATAGAGGGGTGGGATTCTACCAGTTCGCACTTATTTGCTAGAACCGGTTGTTAACATGCTAAGCAGTTGTTAGAAGAAATTATTGGCCTAATCCTGTAAGGAAGGCAGGAAGGAAGCATTCTGGTGTTGCTTACAGAAACTGCCTTTCCGTTAACCCTTATTACATTCTTGGCAGGACTAGACTTCCTGTCTTAGGAACCTCTCTGGAGTTTTCTTTCCCTCTTTTGCTGGCACTTTGCTTTTGTGGAGTGACCATTCAAAGTTACAATGGCACTGAAAAAAGTGACTTATGACCATTTTTCACACTTACAACTGTTGCAGCATCCCCACAGTCATGAGAGGCCAGGCGAGGAGATGCATGCCTCCATGTGAGTGCTGTTGAGTTGGCCACGCCCAGCCAATAACATGACCACCAAGCCACGCCCACCAACTAAGCCACACCCATTTGAATCCCACCCCTGGATGGATGGATGGATGGATGGATGGATGGATAGATAGATAGATAGATAGATAGATAGATAGATAGATAGATTTAAATTTCGTTTGTCTCCTTTGTAAAGTCAAGGGAAAATGGTGATGATGAAGACTAATTCTTTAGTGGGTGTCCTGCTATGTATTTCTAATGAAATGGGGCTTATACAACACATTTCACTTCTTTAGTCAATTATCTTATTTTCTGGACTCATGTAATTAATTGACTAGAAGTGAATCAAATAAGTTGGTTGACAAACTATGCTGAAATACAAGCTCTTTCACGGACCTGCTGGCCTCTTATTAGTCTTGAAATCTCATGAGATTTAAAAATAATTTTAAAACCACTTTAAAAAAAACCCACCCCATTTATTAAAAATCAACTGAAAAATCAAAGTATTTAAGTGCTGGAACCTGAAAAATATAGAAACATAGAAAAAGGATAGCAGAAAAAGATCTAATGGTCCATCGAGTCTGTCCTTTGAGATTTTTGTATTTTTGTTTTCTTTTCAGTGAATGAATGAATGAATTAAACCTCAACCTTTTACTTTATCCTCTTAAAGCATTATAGCAGAACTCTTAAAATAAAATAAAATAATTAATTATTTTATTTTATTAAGAGTTCAGGTATAATGTTTTAAGTTGGTAAAGTAAAAAGGTTGAGGCCATTGTTGTATTCTATATTTATTGTGCTGAAAAAATCCGGAAGTCAAATGCTTTTTCTCTTTTTCCTTTGTATTTACACCTTTCCCCACTCCCTTTTCTCTCTTTCCTATTTTCCTATCACCTTCATTTGCATTAATATTATGATAACATTAATAAAAAAATTAAGAAAGAGTTCAGGCATGATGCTGATTAGACTGGGATCAGAAAGATGTTTTGACTTTGTGACCTTTTTATACAGATCCCCCCTGGAGATCCACGGATTAAGACTCCGGGCATCTGCCTGCCGTTCATTAGGACAGCTCCAGCGTGCAACCCCAGAACATTTGTCCGTGAGCAGCTCAATTCAATCACCTCATTCATAGATGCCAGTAGTGTGTACGGGAGTGAAGAGTCTCTAGCAAGAAGTTTGAGGAACCAAAGCAACTCACTTGGTCTCATGGCAATCAATCAGAACTTCAGCGATGCCGGGTTGGCCCTTCTGCCTTTTGAGATAAATTCCAATAGCCTCTGTCTTCATACAAATAAAACTGCCAAAATCCCATGTTTTAAAGCAGGTATTTACTTGTTTAATTAATGTATTCGATTTATAAGAGCATCCATCCTCAAAGCGCCTCTGTGAGTGGTTCAGTAATAAGAATATTACAGGTAGTCCTTGAATTGAACACCCATTTAGTGGCTGTTCAAAGTTACAACGGCAGTGAAAAAAGCGATTTATGACCATTTTTCACAATTACAACTTTTATAACAGGGGTGTCAAACTCAAGGCCCGAGGGCTGAATTTGGCCTGCGGGGTGCTTAGATCTGGCTCATGGGGCTGGCCTGGAAATAGCAAAGGACTGGGCTGCAGTGCCTCTGCCAGCAAAAACAGAGCTTGAAGGGAGGGCTGCTTGTGGCCCACTCAAGCTCTGTTTTCGCTGGCAGAATGCTTGGGCCGCCACAGGCGCCCCTAATACGAGTGATGTTGAGCTGGCCACACCCACCCTGGCCACGCCCCCTGCTCCCCCCAGGTCAAGCACAACTCTGATGTGGCCCTCAATGAAATCGAGTTTGACACTCCTGCTTTATAGCCATCCTTATGGTCATGTGACCAAAATTCAAATGCTTGGCAACTGCTTCATACGTATGACCTTTGCTGTGTCCCAAGGTCATGGGATCACCTTTTGCTAACTTTTAACAAGCATAGTTATTGGGGAAGCCAGATTCACTTAACAACTGTGCTACTAACTTATCAACTGCTGTGATTCACTTAAGAGCTGTACAAATAATAACGTAGGCATTTGGAGAAAGAAGAACTGTGTCAGGTGAAGCTCCATTCAAAATCCAAGAAAGAAAACCTTAGACTCCATTGTTATAGAGAAAAGGACTTTTACTGAAAATTGAAGTGGTAGCATCGGGAGAATACCAGATCTGAGGCAATAGGTGCAAAAATCACATATAGAAAGTTATTTCATGTTCCCACCCCCAATCGTTCAGACTGGCCATCCAATCTGAGATGTGTATAATGGCATGTGGGACATCTTCAGGTGGTGTTTCAGACATCTGGTATGCCAAGACGGTTGACCTTGGCCTGGACAGATAAGAGGCTACATCTGCGCAGTAAGCAAGTAAGCATAGTAAAGAAACATTTCACCAACTTTTACATTTCACCAACTTAAACCTCCAGCACACTTGCCCCCACGAAGCCCAATTTTTCTTCCCTCCCCCCATTTCTATGGCAGTGTTGTGGTTAGGACGGGTGTGGTATGGACGGCTGAGGAGAGCAAGGGGCCAGGACCGTTAGGGAGTGGACTTCTGCCTTCAGAGATTGTGGGGGCTGGCAGCAGCGATGAGGAGGTTCCCCAGGAGCCTGTGCCAAGTGCGTGTGCGCGCAGGGCTGCTTGCAGGAAAGAGCAGCTGCAGCAGCACAGGCGACTCCAGAATAAGGCTGCAAGGTAATGGCCCCTCCTTCAAGAAGATAAAAGCCAGCTGTGAAGTGGACGTTCTTTGTAGGAAGCAAAAGACATTTTGAAACTCGAGCCTCGTGGACATTGCAGTATCTTAAGTTGGTTTTTGAAGACTCTTGTGTTGTAAAATATCTCTAGATAATCTTATCTGTTATTCTTGGCAGCCTCGCAGTTTTGGTGAGGCTTGTGCTTATCAAAGTTAATTACTTTGCAGCAGCCTTTTAACCGGGAGGATTCACAAGAATCATTAAAAGGTTTCTGTTCTCTTTGGTTCGTGTTTGTTTTATTGGAAAAGGGTTTGGGTCAGAAGAGGCAGCCGGAATGACAAGCAGAAGAAGGATTCCTGGAGGATGACAAACTGTTTTAAAAAGTAACACAACCCCCAGGATTCACTGTCCAAGCTGACCAAGGCCTGGAGGAAGAGTCACATTTTAAAGAACTTTTATAAAATGTTATTTTAAAAAAATTAATAAACCAGACATATTGTGTATTCAGTTCTGGGACATTGCATGCTGGTTATATGTGCATAGTGGGATGAAATCTGCAAAGTAGATAATACTGGATAGTGTCCGCTAATATCCTGCTTTGATAAAGATCCATAGCCCAGCATGGCCAAGATGGGTTTTTTGGATGCAGAAGTTCAGCTTTAACATCTCTAGTTAATTAATCACACTAGGGACAAGGCCTGAGCTGGACACCTTCTTGTTATCTAAAAATGCTCTGATGATATAGGAAGAGGCAGAGAGGAATTAGAGTTTGGTAGTCTGTTTTCCAGTCAGAACATCCTCAGGTTACATCTCCAACATAGTCAGGAAGAATAAGAAAAGGGTCTCTTAAAATTCTGGAAAGCTACTGCTGGAGAGTTGCACTGTTATGGACACCAGTTTTTACACCTGTGAACATCCCTGGGATAGATGCCTCCTTTCACAACCAACATGTTCCAGCCAAATCCCCTTACTTAGGGGTACCAGATTTAGACTGCAAGAATCCACATAACCTCTAGATTGCAGAGGGTATCCTGCAAGTTAACGTTTTCCAGCTTCCTTTCTGAAATGTTTAGAATATTTGTTTTTGTTCATTTGTTTTCATTGCTAAAACCAAATAGAACGTGTCATGGTTCAACTTTGTAGGAGATGCAAGGGTCGATGAAAACCTGGGACTGACAGCTATTCACACCCTCTTTCTTCGGGAGCACAACCGGATAGCCGGGGAACTGAAGAAGTTGAATCCCCATTGGAATGGAGAGAAACTCTATCAAGAAACGCGGAAGATTATTGGTGCTCTCAATCAGGTATTGAATGTTCTCATGTTTATCTCATAGCTTTTGCTGCTTTTAAAGAACGTTTTGTTCACATAGCGGTATCCAAAGGGATATTGCAGGACTGAATATTGTGTCCAAAATAGATGTCTTTTTAGACAGAAAACAAATGAATAAAGGAGGGGGGGGAGTCTTGTCCAAACTTTTATCTTACATGACTTGTTCTCAATATTCAAAACACTTTTCATCATTAAGCACAACATACATATGTCTCTTCTGCTGTTTTAAGTTAGCACATTTCAGAACATGGCTAATTACTCTACAACTAATACCTCAAATAACACATGGAATTTTAAAACATAGGCTAAATATACTGAATGCTTTACCTTACTGTAATGAATCCCACTGGACAACAGATGGTAGATGAAGTAGTGTGGTGGCCTAGAGGTGGAGTTCTTGCCTCGCAATCAGGAAGCTGTGAGTTTGATCCTAGATAGAGGCAGATGTTTTTCTCTCTGGGCACAATGAGAATATATCTGCTGAATAAAATCCCACACTGGCGACAGGAAGGGCATCTGGCCCGTAAACATTCAGCTCCATTCAGTTGCCCAGACTCCACCCCATAAGGGATTATGGGGTCATTAAAAGGAGATGATGAATAGATGGTAGATGAATTGAAGCCACAAAACAGTTGGATCTTCAGGCATTCTTTTTCAATGGTTTCAATTGTCAAGAATGGAATATAATGCCAGAAGATCAGCTCATTTATTAAGGTAATGCTATTATTGATTTGGCCAGAGAAAGCAAAGAGCAAGATAGGAATAAAGGCTACCAGTGTCTGAAAATAAGTTTTTCCTTTCCTTTAAAGTATTTCATCGACTGCTTCTTAATGCTGATATCTCTAGATGTCAGAATGGTACTTTTCTTACTGTTCTCCATTTTACTCTATTTCTCTGACCCATAGAACTACGCCGCCTATGGCTGGACTTAAGCGTAGTACACAAAACTATCTGCTACAATGTCTTACCAGTCAATGACTACTTCAGCTTCAACTGCAACAATACAAGAGCACACAACAGATACAAACTCAATGTAAACCACTCCAAACTTGATTGCAGAAAGTACGACTTCAGGAATAGAGTGGTCAATGCCTGGAATGCACTATTGACTCTGTTGTTACATCCTCAAACCCCCACTCCTTTACCTTCAAACTATCCACTATTGACCTCGCCACATTCCTAAGAGGTCTGCAAGGGGCATGCATAAATGCACAATCGTGCCTACCGTCCCTGTCCTATTGGCCCCATTTATCTGTACCTATTTCCTGTATTCATACTCATGTCTATTCTTATACCTATTATCTTGTAAGCGATTGACAAATCAAATCAAATCAATCAATCAATCAATCAGTCAATCAATAGTTTAGGAGAGGCATTGTCTTACTGGAGCCACTAATCACCACTGTGCAGTAGTGAAGGGAAGCCATTTTGTGATTTAGCTATGGCTGGTTGATGCTATCTATAGTGGTGGGATTCAATTTTTTTTACTACTGGTTCTGTGGGTGTGGTTTGGTGGGTGTGGCAGAGGAAAGATACTGTAAAATCTCCAGTCAGAGGTGGTATTTGCTGGTTCTCTGAACTACTCAAAATTTCCACTACCGGTTCTCCAGAACTGGTCAGAACCTGCTGAATACCACCTCTGGCTATCTATCAAGAGTGAGGAAATTGCCTCAAGTTTGATTCTTCACCTCCAAGTGAAAACAAACCAGTGTGATGTAAGAGATATAAGAGAGAGTTTTTCCCCCTCGTCTGTAGGACTGAGTAAATCCTGTGGAGAGGATTTCATAAATGAAGGCAGCGTTGACTAAGGTTAAATGCAAATTTCTGCAGGTTGCTATTAAGCATTACTTCCTTCACAACTAGTCCCCTAAGTTGTCAGGAGACCAGAACTAATATTTTGGCTGGGGAATTCTGGGAGTTGAAGTTGCTAAGGTTAGGAAACACTATAGTAGTTGAACTGTAGGGAATTTTGCAAGGCAGATGGCAGGCAGAAAAGTGATTCTTCTAGAGCAGGGCTGTCAAATTCATGGCCCGCAGGCCGTAGGCGTTATGTACTGTCCCACACCCGGTTTAGCGAAGGGGAAAAAAGTCACGATACATCATATGACGATGCCATGACAGCGTGAGTTGATACCCCTGCTCTAGAGGATGAAAGGTAACGGAGGGCACACTTAACAAAACAATCTGGATAACCTGGTGTTTTCTGTATAGCAGTGCCTGCCCTCTACAATGAGACTCTCCTCAAAAACCCTGTTTCCCCCATCCCAACTGGTATTTCAAAAGTTTTATAGATCTGGCTCTTCACCTGGGCCTTTGGTTAGAATGAGTTACCTCCTTTTAATGATGTTTTCCTGTTGGTTTTGTCATAATGTCATCTTTACTCTTCTTTTTCTTTTGGGCTGTTTGTTTTTAATATTTTAAACAATTTGTAAATCACCCAGATTTGCTGGGACTCATGCAGGATATGGAACTGGATATTTGGCTACGCTATTTCCAAAAAGCAAAAGAATTACATAAGGTTGCCGTTGAATCAGATCAAAAGATCTACCATTGTTTCTTAAGTTAGTTTATAATTTGTCCTCATTTTCTGAATGCTTGGTATTAATACTTAATACTTAATACTCTTGGTATTAAGTCATCAGGTAGGAGTAAATAAAGAAAATAAATAAGTAGGCTGAGGCCCTTGGGGCTTACATTGTCTTTGTATCATTGCAGATATTCACATACAGAGATTACCTACCTCTGCTGCTGGGCAATGATTTCTATAAACGGCTACCTGTATACAGAGGCTACAATAAGAATGTGGACCCCTCCATTTCAAACGTTTTCTCCTTGGCCTTCCGATTTGGGCATGGGTCTGTCCCACCCTTTGTACCCCGCCTGGATGAGAAATTCCAGAACTCGCTTCCCTATTCCAGGACCCCACTTCATCTCACTTTTATGGCTCCATGGAGGATTGTGGCGGAAGGTGAGTTAGTTCTCTGAATCCCTCTTGCGCTGGGTTTCTCTAAGATCCCACCCATTTCTTGAGAACTTAAACCAAGCCTGTTCAAAGCACAGCCCATAGGGCTAGGAACTATTCAATGCTCCTAGAAACAACCATTTTTGAAGAACAGGAACGAGTAACTCTAAATCTCAGGCTTGATGTTGTTTTTCCTAAGTGTTAAAATATTGTAAAAATGTTGTCATGGAATATGGGTCATGCTGATCTTTTAATTTAGCTTTTCTGTCCTAAAGTTTCCTTTCCTGTGCTATTTGCATAGCTCATTGCTATCAGTATGTCTAATCTTTACTGTAGGGTAAAGTGTTACAAACCTATCACAGATATCTAATACTTCCTTTTCACAAGATAGTAAACTCCACCAAGGTGTTCTAGATCCTCCTAGAATGCAATGTAAACATGCCCGAAATCTGTCTGATGCAATCCTGCAGCTTTGATCCAGGAAGTAAACAATCATTGTTCTGTAAATAGTACCATTGTCTTTTAAAAAAGCAAAATCCTGCCCAGGCTCTTCCCCCTCCACCAATACAGAACCTTAAAAAAAATCCTGGGCCCACCCATCAGTTTGAGTTGCCTATATGACATTCTCTAAAGCAATGTCAATGCAGCCTTGAGCCCTTAAATGCTGCTCATCTCTACTGCATAATGGAGAAATAACAATAGCATTTAGACTTATATAGCGCTTTTACAGCCCCCTCTAAGCGGTTCACAGCGTCAGCATATTGCCCCCAACAATCTGGGTCCTCATTTTTCCGACCTCAGAAGGATGGAAGGCAGAGTCAACCTTGAGCCTGGTGAGGTTAGAACTGCCAAATTGCAGGCAGCTGGCAGTCAGGAGAAGTAGCCTGCAGTACTGCACTCTAACCACTGTGCCACCACCTCCTGCCAACATTGGCTCACTGAAGCATAGGGCTATCCTACAATGATATTTCAAGGAGACTGACATTTCTAAAGCAGGGGACCAACTCCCACCCAGAGGGACTTTGGGAGCTTCTGCCACCAGGGAAGAAGTATGAAGAATAACTGAGATACTGGGACCTGGGAAAACGCCTCTTTCAGACAATGGGCCTTGGTGGGCTGCCTGGGGGTTAGAATAGGCAACATTTTCTAAATTGAGGTCCTCATTTTCATGTCTTGCTGGCTGCTGCATTCCAAACTGTGATTTGCGTTCATTTAATTCAAATGTATATTAGTATGGATTAATTTAAATTATGTTCATATACTTAATCTGATGATTATGCTGCATGTATTATGTAAATGTCACCAGTTTCACATTACACGTGATAAATTAACAGCTACTTCTGGAATGGCTCTGAGTCTCAAAGATTTGGGGAGCTCACTAGGACCATGGGGTCACAGATTATGAACTTTTGATGTGGACAAATTATCAATTAATCCTGTTTAGTGATGTAAACATGGCCAATAATGAGAGAAAAGATTGAAATTGTAATCTAAACACAAAGATCGATATATTTTGACCTTCCATGGGATAAACATAGCCAGTTTAATTGTGCCAGTATAATAATAAATCATAAGGCAGCTTTAAAACTGTTAAACCCTGTATCAAATTTCTCTTTTTTGCTTTCTTTCCTTCCTTCCTTCCCTCCTTTTTTCTTTCCACCCTCCCTCCCTTTTCCCTTTCCTTCTTCTTTCTTTCTTTTTTTCTTTCTTTCTTTCTGTTTTCTTTTTCTCCTTTAAGTCATTGCTGACTGCTGCATTAGTTACTATACTTTTCTTGGAGATATTTCTTAGAATATTTTTGCCTTCTTCTTCCTAAAATTGAAAGAGAGAGAGTGATCAGCACAAGATCACCCAGCTGACTTTGGGCCTACAGTAGAATGGAAATGTAGGAAGCAAGCTACTAATTAAAAAAAGACCTAAAGCTCTGGAAGCCTTGGTTAGAAGATACTTTCCTTTCAGAGACCATAGTTGTTTTTCTCTTCTAGGTGGCATTGATCCCCTTGTCCGTGGCTTCATGATAGACCATTCCAAGCTGATGAGGCAGGACCAGATGATGGTTGAGGAGCTTCAAGAACGGCTCTTTGCACAATTGGAACATATTGGTCTTGATCTATCAGCTCTGAACCTGCAGAGGGGACGAGACCATGGTTTGCCAGGTACAGTAACCTATTGTAAAGGCAGATTTATCATTGTCCTTTCAAAAGCAACTTAAGAAAGGCTGTCCAAATTAACAGAATAACAGAGTTGGAAGGGACCTTGGAGGTGTTCTAGATCTAGTCCAACCCACTGCTCAAGCAGGAGATATACCATTCCAGTTAAGTGTCCGACCAATCTCTTCTTAAAAACCTCCAGTGATGAAGCACCCACAAATTCGGAAGGCAAGCTGTTCCACTGGCTTAATTGTTCTCACTGTTAGGAAATTTCTCCTTAGTTTGCTTTTCTCCTTGATGAGTTTCCATCCATTGTTTCTTATCTTGCCTTCTGGTGCTTTGGAGAATAGTTTGACCTCATCTCTTCTTTTTGGCAAATATTGGAACACTGCTATCACCTCAACCCTAGGCCTTCTTTTTGCTAAACAAGACATACCCAATTCCCCTGTTCTTCATATGTTTTAGCCTCTAGTCCCCTAATCATCTTTGTTGCTCTTTTTAGAATCTCTACATCTTTTTTGTAATATGTGATCAAAACCAGTGGTGGGATTCAATTTTTTTTACTACCAGTTCTGTGGGCGGGGCTTGGTGGGTGTGGCAGGGAAAGAATACTGTAAAATCTCCAGTCAGTGGTTGTATTTGCCGGTTCTCTGAACTACTCAAAATTTCCGCTATCAGTTCTCCAGAACTGGTCAGAACCTGCTGAATACCACGTCTGATCAAAACTGAATGCAGTATTCTAAGTGTGGTCTTACTAAGGCTTTATAAAGTGGTACTAATTCTTCACGTGATCTTGATCTGGTCCCTCTGTTAATCTTAGAGCCTTAGTGGACAAACACTTAAATATGAGCCAGCAGTATGCAGCCTCCACCAAAAAAGCCAATGCAATCCAACATCCCTAGTTACCGCTATTGAGCCAGGGTTCACTTAATCTCTACCTGTACATTTGGTTTTTCTTGCCTAAGTGTGAAACTTTTCTCTACACTGAATTTCATTTCGTTAGATAGGTCCCAGTGCTCAAGTCTTTCAAGATTCATCTGGATCTTGAGCCTATCTTTTGGAGTGTTGGCTATTCCTGCCAATTTAGTATCGTCTGCTGAGTTGATGTGTCCTTCTGTTCCCTTATCTAAACCATTTATGAAGATATGCTGGGCCTAAAACAGAACCTTGTGGTACCCCACTGCTTACTTCCCTCTATGTAGATGTAATTCAATTGAGGTACAGATATTTGTCTTCCTTTCCAACAGCTTTCAGAACTGGTGGGACCATAATTCCCAGAATTCTAAGAGCAGAGGTGGTATTCAGCAGGTTCTGACCAGTTCTGGAGAACCAGTAGCGGAAATATTGAGTAGTTTGGAGAACCGGCAAATCCCACCTCTGAGTGGAGATTTTACAGTATCCTTCCCCTGCCATGCCCACCAAGCCACGCCCACAGAACCAATAGTAAAAAAATTGAGTCCCACCATTGTCTTAAGAGGGCTGACTGATGAATTCTGGGATTTGCAGTCCCAGCATATCTGAAGTAGGAGAAGACTGTTCTTACACTTTATGGGCATTTTTTCTTTCCTGTTATCCTACCCTACCCTGCCCTGCCCTGCCCTGCCCTGCCCTGCCCTGCCCTGCCCAAACCCTATTGATATGCATGATTTCACTAGTTTTTTAAATAGACCCAAAATGAATCCCAGTCTGACAGAGACACTAAAAAGATGCCTATTATGTAACACCTGCTTGCAGATCCTACAGAATTCTTGAAATAATTTGTGTGGGAAAGTCACCTTTTTCTTTACGTTCTTAAAACATACATCAGATTTGTTTCCTATTTAAACAAATCCAGCAACACAAGTTGGATTACTTGCAACTAGGGATACTTGGGGAAGGGGGGAAAACTCAAGATGGTTGCTGTGATACAGCCCCACCCCCTTTTAAATATAGGAACTTCCCTGTCTGTAATGATGATTGTTCCTTCTTGTAGGGTACAATGCCTGGAGACGTTTTTGTGGCCTTTCTGCTCCAAGCAACGAAGCCCAGCTTGCTGCAGTCCTTCGCAATCGTAAACTGGCAAAGCAGTTCATCAACCTTTATGGGACACCTGAAAATATTGACATCTGGATCGGAGCCATGGCTGAGCCCTTCGTCCCAAACGGGAGGGTGGGACCTCTCATGGCCTGTCTCATCGGAACTCAGTTTAGAAAACTCCGAGATGGAGACAGGTGGGTGCTTTTCAAATCATTTATGAAATCAATGGCAACATCTGGATTTGGCATACAGATTTAATCCAGATGTTGCCATTGATTTCATAGCTATACTTGTTTTTGATTTTAAGTGATTGTGTGATATGGTAGTTTTAATTATCATTTATATTTTGATAATTACTTTGCTACAAAACTATGTAGTCGTACTTAGTTTTTTGGGAGGAAAATAAGGGGGAAAAAAGCTGCTTACCAGCATCCATCAGTATTCTTCTGGTAGCGTGCTACCAGTGTGTGAAAGAGGTGAGGGCTGTTTGGAAAGTGAAATAGTATTTGCTGTGTGAGCAACTGTTCTGTACTAAAGCTGCTAACTATTCTCTAGTCACATTGCCAAGGCAATCACCAAATTACCAACACTGAGGGTTTCTGGTGGTCTCCTATAGAAATACTTCCAGGTACAGCCCAGCTTAGCTTTTTAAGATCAGCCAAGACGATTAGTTGCTTCTCCCTGCTGTGACCAATGTCCAGAGAAGCTCATCAAAAGAAATGATTTTCTATGATTAACCCTTCAGCTCTTGGCTCACTAAAGTACTATTTTTACTTCCTCAGGTTAATTTTATTATCATTTCTATTATGATTTCTATCATCATTATTCACCTATTGCAACTTTTCACCCTTTTTTTTGGCAGATATTGGTGGGAGAACCGTGAAGTTTTTACCTCATGGCAGCGCCGTGCTCTGAGAAGTGAGTCATTTTCCCGTGTCATTTGCGACAACACACACATCAAAGAAGTGTCCAGAGACATTTTCAGAATGAACCGCTATCCAAGAGATTTTGTGAGCTGCTGTGACATCAAGAGTCTGGATTTGTCAGCTTGGAAAGATTAGAATCAAAATCAGAGCAGAAGGATGAGACAGGAAGTGTGGGACAGGACCTTAAATCTGCATGGAGAACCTGGAACCTGAGGAACTTATAGCCCCTTTCGCTCATTACTCTAAAACATGAAACAGAATGGCGCTAACCAGCTTCTTCTGTCAAGGACAGTTCATTTTAATAAACCAGACACTGGGAATCAAATAAAATTGGGCAATTAACAAACTATATAAGTAAATACATAAGGAAGTTGTGGTCTCCCTGCACAGTATTGCATATTTGTCAGAATCCTGATTCACTTCCCCAACTACCACATTTTCCTGAAGTGAAAAGCATTTGGATCAGTTGTACAGAGTATTTCCAGATGGGAGCATTCATTGGGGGGGGGGGAGGCAGGGGGGAGGGGGAGATCAGGATAACCATGCAGCCAAAGCCCTGAATCTTTTTTTAATACATCAAATGTGTAAAATTCTCAGCCCAACTCACCTCACAAGGATGTTGTTGTGGGGAAAATAGGAGGAGGGAGTGTGCTGGATATGTTCACCACCTTGAGCTATTTGTGAAAGTAATAAAGGCAGGAAGTTAAATAAATAAAATATGGAAGAAAAGGGTGAGGTTTTGACCACACAGTTGTAGGTGTCCTCTTGATTTTTTTGATCTCCTCCCCCAAGGATGTCCTGTTGGGAGAGTCTTGTAGAGAGTTGGTGCCATAACTGAGCACTATTATGTTGTTGTCCATCAAGTCTCCCACAGGAGAGGAACCTTCAACATAACTAAGTTTGTACTGGAGAAGTTGAATCAGTCTGAAATATATGCTATATCCTATAGGATTTTACAGACCAAAACTAGCACTTTGATTTGTAGCCAGAACCTACTGGGAACCATTATATAACCATTATCAATGTTATGTGTGAGTAGTGACTTTCATCTGCCAACAAATAGGCTACTTCATTTTGCAACAGTTGTTTTTAAGTAGTCTTCCATGGTAGTACCATGTACAGGGCATTCCAGTAATCTAATCACTTTCTTGAGCTTCTGCTCCACAAAGCTATTTTGTTAGCCAACATTAAAAACTTTGGATCAGGTGCATTGTGTTAACTTTGACCCTGAATCAGGAGTAGATGTTTGCATTCTCTTTAGAATAAGGTTTTTAATGGGGCTCTGAAAAATTTACAGACACGAAGCTGGATTTAAATTCTTCTCTTCAGTTATGTACACAAAGAACTGGTATTAGTTGGGCATCTAGCACTGTCACTTATAAACTCTGGGTATGGGTATGGGTATATAATGTATATGGATAAATAGCCTGTTGCTTAATATCAGTTTTGTATTCTAATAATTGCTTAGGCATAGCTGGGAGAAAGATCTGGTTATTTTTTAAAGAGAACTGTTGATAGGATCGCATCATTAATAAAAATGGAAGGATACAAAGAGCTGTGTCAATACTTTTTGAATTCAGAAATATAAAAAGATAATTATGCTTATAGGCTGCTGTTTTATGTGGCACAATATTGTCTGGTTTATTCTTCTGGTTTTCTATGAAATAGATCTCTCTAAAGCAAAATAAGTTTGCATCCACCCTCATTTCTCTCCAGATTCAAGCTTTCTGGATTAGAAATGTGCAAATGAGCATATATTTTTGTATATGTTGGACAAAAAGTGAAATGCATCAGCTCACAAGGTGTTAACTTCTAAAGTTTCCTGGGGGAAATTTAAAGCATTTTTTTAAATGCAGGGGATTACAGTATTTTTGCGCAGAGCCTTTCCTATTCACCACTGCTAACATCCTTGTCTAACCTAGTAAATAATGTTGTACATTCCACAAATTCTGTTCTATTCTGCTCAAGAAGGAAATCGCAACAGTAGTTCATGCACTCCACAAATAGAGAACCTTCTATAATTTGATTGCCTTGTATGATTTTAAAAAGTGGACATCTCGAACATTGCAGACAGCTATTTTAATTTGGCATTCCTTTCTCATTGCTCCAGATTAAGCATAAACAATGGCAGCGAGGGGAAACAGCTAAAGCAGGTTAAAGAACGCTTTCTCAAAAACAAAAATTCCAGGTTGCTGGCAGAACTTGCTTGGATGTTCTTCTATAGAGGAGAGAGAGAGAGAGAGAGAGAGAAAACATAAAAATAACCTATTATAGGAACAAAACAACCAAACTCAATAAGACCAATAGCTATTCTGTCCTGTCTTCCACCCCACTCTATCCATTGTATTTCACCAAAATTCTCTCTTTTTTAAAAAAACGTTGAAAATTATTCTGTTTCCTCAAATTAAATAGGAAGTGGCAAAACTGAATTGCTGCTTGCAGAGCAAAATGACAATGGTGCTTTAATAGGATAAACTGAATAAACCTCTGGAGAAGAGGATTTCTAAGTGAGGGAGGAGGAAGAGAGTAATTTGTTAATTTTCCTTTAAAAGTTGTGCACAGCAATGAATTTGAGGTTGGTTTAGAAACAGGGCACAGAATCTGCACTTGGTGCCAACCCCAACAGTACATCAGATTAGAAAGTGACTTCTAACAAAATCGGCTTTTCCCATCTAGCAAGATTGGCATGTCATTGGGGCTTTGCAGTATCGCATGTTGTACTGTTTGTATGAGCATCAGGTGAGACAAGGCTAATTGGGATGGGTTGGCTTATAGTTCAGAACGTTACAGGAAACCACATTGTTGTAAGAGGTTCTTTGTTTGACATTAGCATATTTTGGAAACAGTTGTTGTATTATGATTTAGCAAGTTGTGTGAAATAAGATTGTGTGTGTGTGTGTGTATGCATGCACACATATGACTCTATTTGCTTTTCCTTTGCAGCTCCAGTTATTTCTATTGTTTCATGGGCTTCCTCCCAATCTCAGAGAAAGCAAGGGCAATGTTTCTCATTCTAAGCAACTTTACAATGTATAGACTTCAACTCCCAGAATTCACTAGCCAGGAAACTTGCTGGCTGGGGAATTCTCGGAATTGAAATCCACACATAAAGCTGCTGAGGTTGAAAAATATTGAGAGAGGGGACAGAGGATGAGGCACTGGGAATAGTTATGGTGGGGAGGAGAGGGCTCAGAAAAGACTGCACATATCCTCTGTGACATACACATACACAACCCCGCTCAGACAAACGTACACATGTATACCCACATGTTTGCATTCTCTTCTGAGGAATATTGTTTTATAACTAAGGCTAAAATGATACCCCAAGGAAAAGCTCATGAATGCAAATGTAAAGATTGCATAGTTGTGTCCAAAACCAAATGCATCTTACCTTCACCGATCTATTAAGGAGACTTTTTCCATGGAAAGAGGCTGAGCCTTGGGATGGTGTTGCAGTTGACAAAATTACGTGGATACCGGTTGGCTCGGAAAATGAACTTAGGTACCTCACGGATGTAGGTATTGTCACAGATGATGCGTGGCAATGAGGCTTGCCTAAGAGCCTGTTGCTGGGCTGGGGTGAACACACCAGGGTTCTCCCACCAGAACCTGGGGGGGAAAAAACCAGAAAACTTGTCACATGAAGAGCAGCCTCCCAAATTTACAGAAACTTTCTTGCTGGAATGAAGCAGTTACAGAAATTCTAGACCTAGAAAACCTAGAACTACGCCGCCTTCGGTCCGATCTAAGTATAGTATATAAAATCATACATTGCAATGTCCTACCTGCAAATGAATACTTCAGCTTCAACCATAACAGCACAAGAGCTCACAATAGATACAAACTCACGGTTAATCGCACCAAACTTGATTGCAGGAAATACGACTTCAGCAACAGAGTGGTCAATGTCTGGAATACTCTACCTGACTCTGTGGTTTCTTCCCCAAACCCCAAAAACTTTAACCTTAGACTGTCTACTATTGCCCTCACCCCTTTCCTAAGAGGTCTGTAGGGGGCGTGCAGAAGCGCACCAGCATGCCTACCGTCCCTGTCCTATTTTTTCTTCTATTTTTCTTATATGTACCCATGTATTCGTAACTATGTTTTTACTTATACCTATTATCTTGTAAGCCATTGACAAACCAAATAAAATAAAATAAAAGAATAAAAGAGTTGGAAGGGACCTGGGAGGCCATTGTCCAAACTCCTGCTCAGGCAGGAAATCCTATACTATTTCAGACAAATGGTTTACCAATCTCTTCTTAAAAACCTCGTGTTGGAGCACCCACAAGCGATTCCACTGATTAGTTCCTCGCCTTAGTTCTTGGTTTTCCCCTTGGTTATTTTCCACCCATTGCTGAAGCCACTAAAGTGCCTGTTGTTTCAGAGGACAGCCTTTTACTTCAGAAAACTGTCCTTTAAACTTATTTTTCAAAACCCCGCTTGTCCTTAATTTGGGGCATTTAATTTTTAATGTACAAATGGAATTACTTAATGCAGTCTTTTTTAAAAATGGATTTTTCCCCCATTAAAAAGCCATTTAAAATTGCTTTTAAAAATAAATTGATATCTTATGATTTGATTTTACAATATTTTTGCTCTATAAGATGCTCTGGACCATAAGACGCACGTTAGCTTTACTCTCCACAGACATGAGACTCCAACTTTGAATAGGGGGTTGGACTATGAAACTCCAAGGTCCCTTCCAACCCTATGATTATATTTTTCTTTTTAAATGTTTACATCAGTTTTAATCTGTAATTATTTATTTTTTGGGGGGGGGGTGGCTACAGGGTGGGGTGAACTCCACGGATGGTTTTAGCTGGAGTTGGTAACTCTAAGTTGATATTATGGGAAACTGAGCAAAACAGATTTTGTCTGTGTTTATTGTGCATATAATTTTTTTAAGGGATCATTTTCCTTTCAGGTTAATATAGTGTTTGGGAATGCTGAGAACTGAACCTTATTCATTCAAAGCATGTCTTCTATCCCTAAGTAGCAGCACAACTTTCAATTTTTCTTTTCTGTAGTGAAAACAATTGAGGTTCATTTGCTATGTAGTAGATCAAGTGGATACAGTGAAATAGCATTTACTCACCTGTCCCCATCGCGAAGATTTCGGAACTGTTTCCGAAAAATACACGCAAAGAGAGGCCCAACCCTGGCATTCCGGAGGAGTGGCTCAGCCACTCCCCCAATCCAGAGGTCGATATTCCTGGGTGTCCCATAATGTTGAATGAGCTTCTTGGCCAGTTGAGGATTCTGGAGGACTTGGGCCAGCTCATTTTCATTGCGAGGTTGTGAGAGGCCACATAATTGCCTCCAGGCATTATAACCTATAGAACAAGAGTAGTGGTCAAAAGTTCTGCTCAGCTGAAAAATGACGGTCTCTCTAGTATCATTCCATGTTGCAATCTCAAACATTTTTAAGGCTGAACTGTAATTTTCTACATTAGTTATGGCTATAGTGGCAGCAATCCACAATCTCTGATATTTCCTGCAAAATGGGAACACTCTACTCTTGTTACCTGAGAGGCCATGATCTCGGCCACGCTGCATGTTGAATGATGGCAAATCCAATCCAAATTT